ATAAATCTAAAACCATGTGAACACTTAAAAAACAAAAAACCAAAACAACAACAACAAAACTAAACAAAAAACACCCAAAACCCCACCTCAAACAAACAAACAAAAAACTATAGCCACTTATAGATCAGCTAGGATATCAGAAGCATACAAATTCATGAATTCCAGCATTTAGGTGGAAAACTGTTAAGAAAAACTAAAAAGTTCACACTTTCTGTTTGTAACATCCAGTGCATGTTTTCTTGCCTTTCAGATACCCAGCTTCATAAATTGTAGAACTCTCTTGGGAAGCAGGAACTAAAATACCTTGAAACTCATTGTCTGGAGCCTTGAGTTACCTCTCAGACCATCCTTGCTAGTCACCCTTCCAAACTGCTTGCTGGTTCTGATGGAAAGCGCATACTTTTACAGGATGAAGATTACAACCTATAGTCATCCCACGGAGCTAAAAGGTACAGCAATTTTCTACCAACAGACTGAAGCTTATTCCTAATTATTTTCCCAAGCATCTTAGTAATTTGAATGAAGCTATCTAATATAAATCTGATATAACTGAATGTGTAAGGGTTAAGTCTTATTCAGTGGGTTTAAAACAATCAAGAATCCCATCAGAATATATATTTACACTACCTGTGTATTTCCTTTGACTCCCTTCAAAAATTCAGCCTTAAATCTTGGCTATTTAATTGAATAACAACTGACAGTATTTGAACAGGAAATGTAGCCATGGCTGAAAAAAGATGATGTTTATGTTACATTAAGCAGGCAAATTTAAGTTACACTGTCAGTAAAAGTAATTATCTTGACCAAAAGGAAGTTGCTCTACTGTGAAGACTTTTGGGAGATGAAGAAATCAATTGTAAATTTGGCAAGGAAAAAAGAGTGGAAGACAAAAACTCCGAAAACATAGGAGGGGAAAATGCAAAATCCTCCTCTGCAGAAAGTTTTATGTAAAGACCCTTTGAGTCTCAGATGTTCTTGATTTTGGATGCTACAAGTCAAACTCTACATATCTGTGGCTTTTTAAAATGAACTAAAACAAGTGGAAAATAATAGTTCACTATATAGCAGAATTACTACTATTAACACAATAAACTGATACAAAATGTAACATCGAACACAGTTATTTTATATATATGAGTTTTAGAAAGTTAACACCATTTTGGCAGCTCTGAGAAGTACAAAGTTTAAGTTTCATTAGAAACCTGGGGGATTTTTTGTGGGACTTTAGGTTGGGTGGTTTCTTGGTTTTTTTTTCCAGAAACTTTAATAAAATAGGCAGCAACCAAAAGGACAAGACAATTCATTTTGTTCCACGCTTTATATGTCTTATAAGTTATTGCTTATTATTATAATAGAATTTTGTAAAGTAGAATAGGCAGATTAAGAGCCAGCAGGATGCACTAGAACTTACCATGCCAAGAGCAATTTAAACAAATATTAAATGCTTGCTCTCATGGATAATGAAATGTTTCTCTGTTTCTTAGTTCTAGACTAAACTGGCAGTTTATATAAGAAAAAAAAAATCTATTAACATGGCAACTGGTTTACATAGAAACAAATAGCATATTTCCTTTTCAATACTACTGCATTTAAATTTTGTCCAGCATAATGCCAGACAATCTGGTCAGGCAATCTGCTTTTACAACCCATTCACTACACAAAGTTAGCACATCCTGAGGGGATAGAAGAAATTGTTTCAGTGTGCCATGGTGCATTCAGATTTCTTTCCAGGTGAGCCTAACTACCAAGAGGCCATCTAGCCAAAGAGTTGTGTGGTTCTGCAGTGTGTGAGCAGAGGACTACTTACCTCTCCTGCACAGAGACTTCCTATTCCTGTGAGAGAAAATACTTTTCCCAACATACCCCCGTTCAAAAAGGCCAAAAAATACATGTTTTTCTTGGTATAATATCTTCTGTTATGACACAAGCCATCTCTTCTTTAAGCAAATGTGGTTTAGTCCTATTTGAGAGTCATTCTGTCACTTAAGAAATTAATTTTCCATATTTAAAACTGCTGCCTCTATTAAGGTATATTGTTTACTTGTATGTATTAATAATTCTACTACTAAACTTAATATTGTACAGGTAAATAGGCATCCAAAATTCATCCTCTAATGGGATCTTACTGGGAACTTCAAAGAGAAGAAACAATCACTTTCATTTTTGTCAAACTTCAGCTGTAACTTCAAATATCAAACTCTTCCTGACTTACAAGCACAATCAATGAGCATCAAAACCACAGGTCCTTATTTAAGTGAAGAGTACTGTAATAATGCATTTTCCTTATCTTGCTGATACTCCTGAAAACAGTTGCTTCTAGGATAGAAACAGATGCTTGAAATCCTAAGAAAGATATGCTGGAATTTTCACAAGTGATCAGCTCTAAAAATCATATCACACTGAACCATGAAATAGAAAATGTACCTGAAATTTAGTGCAAAATTTAACACTCATGAGTTCCGCTGATTCTGTTATCTGCTCCATTTACATGCCAATCTACACCCCTGCCTAAAAAGGCTTTTCTTAAAACGCTTAAAATAAACTACTCCAGCACTTCTTTCGTAGCATAAGTTGATTTTACACGTGTCTTGAGCAACAAATACTCAACACCAAACCGTAGTCATTAAATTGCTACCATCTATCAGCAAAGGTAAATTATACAAATCAGAATTATGCAAAACATTTTTTTTTAGTTGCTATTTCTATTTTGTGCAACTGTCTGTTAGAGTTCATTATGTGAGGATCAAATTATCTTGGTACTGCTATCAAAAAAAACCCACAGCAAAAGTCAGAGGCTTGTGTCTCTGACGAGCTATTTATTGCTTTTAACATCTATTAAGGCACCTGAAAAACAGAACTCGAGAACTGTTGCTGGAATCCTCTCCCAAAAGCATCTTTCTTACAATCCACAAAAAGTCATGCAACTGGCATTTGGAAATAAATACTTAGCTTCCTACCAGCAGCTTTGGGGGGTATTTCTCTTGGTAGGTATCCATAGCACAGCCCGCTACTCCTTTTTTTTTTCCCCAAGCCTCTCTTATATAACAGACTGCAAAAACCATCTCTGAACAGCGTGATCAAGATGTGATCTCCTCTTTTGGAACTACAACATTCAACATAATCACATTCAACCCAGTCCCAAGCTATTAATCAACTTCTTACTAATGACGATGATCGATCGCAAGTTCTCTGCAGTTTTGCAGCTGATAGTCAGTCAAGGCTCCCAAAGGATCGTGTCATTCACAGACTGAAAGGAGACAGCTTCACCAACTCAGCTCAAAAATTAGTCTTACAAGGGTATTTGATCATCATATAATGTTTTGCTTAAATATCACAGTCATTCCAGGTGGTTTGGTTTTACTGTTGGGGCTCCTCCCCAGATAACCTGTGTAAAGGCAACAAAAGCCCTAAAGCCACTTGAGTCTCAGAGGCCCACAAGTAGGATATACAGCAGCTTTCCCTGGAGACCTGCCCTTAACCCCTTCGTGCCACATCATTTATACACTGCCAGCTAACTAGGCTGTCCAAAAAAGATAAACCCAGCCTACACGAGTTACATAATCAGTTTATTTTTTAAGACAGGATGAATATATCCCGAAGTACAGAATGATTAAAGATGCTTTTCCCTCTCTTGATTTTGCAAGAGACACAACAGACTTACATAAACTCCGTATAATTCTGGGTTGTCCTCCCTCTGTCTTGAGGTACGTAAGTCTTGACGTACCCTATGGAAAGGTTTGCTACAAAGCACAGCTCAGGCTGACTCACTGTTTTCACTTTACATATAGGCTACCCAGAAGGACTTCGAAAATAAACCTGCAATGTGAAGTTTTTACTTTACCTTGTTACTGCCAATAAAAAGGCACACATGTTTTAAGGGGCACAGATATCAGTTACTACAGCCACTAAAGTTAAGAGCTGGGTGTTCAACAAAGAAGCCTATTAATTTCTAAATATTTCTTCTAAGTTTTGGATTTTTCTTTTCTGTAAAGCATAGGGTTAACCGTGACACCCTGAATCCAAACAAAGCACACCCTAACAAAGTATAAGAAAATGTAACAGCACAAGATGCTGTATTACACTCTTCCGTGTATTCGTCCTTCCAGTCCCTCCAGAGGAAATTTAACATGGTTTCTAAAATTATCCCTCTAACGGGTTTTTTCATTTTCCTCCAAGATCCCCGGCCAGATGAATTTGTGTATTACATGTACCGCCTGTGCCGCTGCACCTCCTTCCTCTGTGGTGACTTGATTCAGCTGAAGCTACGATTTGACCGATCGATGCAAGCACATTACACACCAGAATAAGAGTAAGGTAAGGGTAAAGGAAAGCAAAGCATCTCTTCTTTCAGCCATTAAATATAGATCAACGAAACATCACCGCGCACATCGCGGCTCCCCTCCCCACCCCCTCCGCCCGCTCCTCGAGCGCAGCATTTCGCAGACGGTGGCTTCAAAGGAAGAGCACACACCCCACACACCCCTCCGCGCACACACACGGACACACAGACACGCAGCCCAGACACACAGAAACAGCAGCAGCCGTCGCTCGGAGCCGCCCCAGGGCGCGGGCTCCGCGCAGGGCCGGGCGCTGCCCCCGCCCGCGGCTCCCCGGGCCCCTTCATCTTCTTCTTCCTCCTCTTCTTCCTCCTCCCTCTCCCTGGCCCATGACTTCACCGCCGTAACGAGCACATTAGTGCAGGGCGCCGGGAGACACAGTGCCGCGGATGCCCTACATAAGCGGCGACTAACGTAGCAAGAAAGGGAGGAAAGGGATGGAGGGGGGAGGCCCGGGAGAAAGAGCCATGAGGAAATAACGCACTTTGTTACCTTTCGGCTGAGGGCATAAACACCGCTCCTCGCAGCCCAGCCCAGCCCGGCAGCCTCGCCGAGGGGAGCAGCGCAGGACCCCGCACCAAGAAGAAATATCACGCAAGCGGGAAGGGTGTGTGGGGGGGAGGGGGACGGACCTGGCACCATTACGGTGCCTGTCGTACTCACCGATCGGCGCCGATTCAGCCTGCTTGCTCCCAAACATATACCAAAACCCAAGAGCAAATCCTCAGTCCGCTAAGCGAGAATGAAGCGGGGGAGCGGGGAGGGGGGGGGGCGAGCGACGGCTCCGGGCTTCACCGCAAGGTCCTGACCTTGCCCAGCTGCAGCATCTTCGGCTTGCCCCCCCCCAGGGCGTGCGTGTCCGCCCGTGTGTCCCCGTGTCCGTGCGAGCGCGCCGATCCGGCTCCGAGGGGCTCGGCCGCAGGACAGCTGCCCGCTGGCTGCCGGGGCGAGGAGGGCTCGGCATCCACCGCCCCGCCGCTGGGGCGAGGCGCGGGGCCGCTGCTGCGGCGGCGGCGGCTGGGGCAGGCTGCGCGGCGGCGCCGTAGCGCAGCGCGCCGGGCGGGCGCACCGGCCGCGGGATGTGGCCGAAGGAGACACAGCCGCCGCCGCAGCATCTGCCGCCGCCGCGCTCCCGCCCTCCCTCCCTCCCGCCTCCGCCCCTCCCTGCCCGTCCCCTCCCCAGCAGGAGCGCGCCCGCCGCGGCCGAGCAGCCGGCGCTGCTCGGGGGGGACACAGGGGGGCTGGGCGGCCCCGCCGCCGATGGGGCGCTGCCGCCTGTGCCGGGCGGGGCTGAGGTAGGGCCGGGCCGGGCCGGGTCCCCCAGCCTCGCCGCGGAGGGGCACGTCCCCGTGTTCCCTCAGACCCCCGCGGCCGGGGGGCTCTGATTTACTGGGGAAGGGGCGGCAGGGCGGAGGGCGCAGGTGTGGGAGCGCACCCTGGAGCGGGGGTCCTCGGTGGGGAGCAGCCCCTCGGCAGTGACCGCGGCTCCTGCTGTCATGGGCTGGGAACTTGAGGTCGGCCAGGCAAAACGGTGACAGCAACAGGGAAGCCAGAGCTCGTTCTCCGGCTCGTGTTTACCTCGGGTCTCTCTTCCCATGCTTGGGAAACCTAGGTGGAAATCCTACCGTGTTTTCAGAAGTATTCTTGCGAGCAAATAGCGTAAGGAATATGGAAGTCATGTTTTACTCCTGCGCACGCTTAACCCTTCGTTGAGAAAGTTGTGTGGAAGGCAATTGCAGCACTCACCTGAAAGTTGCCACTCCACGGCTCCTATCAATTCGCCGCTCGGAGTTTTGGTGCCTGAACAAAACCACCCAATTTTTTGGGGTTGTTGCCCGGGGTAACCTCTGCTAACTCACGCTCGCAGCGGGCTGAGCATCAGCGCGGCACTGGGGACAGCCAGAGGCGCGGCCGAGGCGCCCGGCCAGCGCCTACAGCCGCTCATTTGCTGCCCAAAATCGCGGTGCCAGCACCTGCCCCGCAGGGAGGGATCCGCGTGTCCCCGGGCGCCAGGGGCGGCCAGGCGGGCCGCTCCCGCGGGACACGGCTCTCCCATCCCTCCCTCCATCCCGCGCCCCTCCAGCCCGCACCGCACGGATAAGGCATGCCGGGCCCACAGCGGTACCCGCGGCCGGGCTGAGCCCCGGCGGCAGCGGTGCGGACCGGCCGCTGGTGGCTGCACGGCGACTCGCTGCTGCCACCTCTCGCTTGGCGTTCTCGCAGCTTCCCCAAGCTCTGCTGCCAGCAGGAGATTCGCCTGGCTGAAGATCTCACTTCTCACCGACTTGCGGTGGCTACCCCTCCCTTAATGTCATGGGAAGGCCGGAGGTTACGTCTTCCCACTGTCAGAATGCCGTGTTTTAGGCTTCAGGTCATTTTTGGGGGAGAGAGTTTATTTCCATATTTATTGGACCATAGAGATGACTGGTATGTGTCCTTTCCCTGGGTTCGGTGAAGGTGGCCCATCCACCTGTGACAAAATCAGCAAATTACAGCTGAGGATGATTCAGCCTGGCAGCATCCCTCAATGCCAATCCAGGTGTTGCCCAACTACTAGGACTTGTGAGAAGAGCACCTCTGGGCTCAAGTCTAGAGTAAGCCCAAAACCTCATTGTCAGGTTCTGGTCTGGCATGTCTTGATGCCTACTGAGTTGCAGCTCTAGAGGGGAGCTTGCTGGTGGCAGAACACAGTGGCCAATCCAGTCTTGTCTCAAGTAGAGAAGCAACCAACTAGCCCACTGTCTGAACATTTGGTTGGACCAAAAGTTCATTTTTTCTGCTAAGTCCAAGACCCTGGGTTTGTGATTCCCAGCCTGACATAGACAAATAACTCTGGACTGAAAATAGTGAATCACTCAGTAGTTACCTGGAGTCACTGTCTTACAGTTCAAGATGTACTTGATAGTAAAATTATTGGGTGCCACAGTATCACAGATATGCCATAGCATCATGTGATCCACCTTCTGCAGCCCAGCCTCTTTTCCAGAGCTGAAAGGTCTTTCTGGCAATAAAGGTAAAGGAGACTGAAAGACAAGAAGTAGGCTGTGTCCCCCTTCCATTCCCCCCCCCAAATATTCCCATGTAATAGGGGCATTTTGTGGCTCTGGGGACTGTACACAGCTGACCTAATTGTAGGATAAGCAGTGTGGGCTCATGAAGAATGAACCTAAGACATCTGATTCTCCCTACTCTGCAAAGGTTACCCAGCTGGCTGTACTGATCTGAGTAGTGAGTATGGAAGCTGTTAGCCTGGAAGTTAAATATAGTAACTATAAAGATAGATAATAATGTAGACTCTCCATTGGGAAAGTGAGGCCTGGAGACAGAAGAGTTTTGGAAGAATCTGGGAGGTGTCTGAAATCTATTTTTCTCTCACTAAGTTTCCTCTTTTCACATCACAGTTTTGCATGAGAGGGTTTCCATCTTAAGATGCTGCAAGATTCAAAAAGCTTCTCCTGTTCCTGTCACTTTTCTCCTTGATTCTCCCTGATGCATCACATTTTCAATGTTCCCTGATACCATGTTACGTCAGAGAAGGGGCCAGGACCGAGCCCTGCTTATTGATATGGAGAAACGTAGCAAAGGAATTAAATCAGAGTTTCCATGTGACTTCAATCAGAGTTTCCATATGCTGTTGTTGCTGTCACAGAGGAAGAGTAAGAGAGAACAGTGAGGGTTAAGCATGTGAAAAGCAGTGAGATCAACTTCTGGAAGAGGCTGCATTCCACAGAGCTCCAGGAAGAGGTCTGCCAACTTTATTCTCAGTGACTAAACCTCTTCTTCTGACAAGCCAAAAGCGTACGTAGGTGGAAGCTGTTCACTTTTTTTGGTCAGTCCCAGACTTCTTATATATAGACAGTCTGTTTTCTCAGGCTTCTCAGGTCTGTACCTAGAAGTGGTGTATCTATCCTAATCTTTGGTTAACTTCCCTGAGGGTTTGTTGAAGTTGGAGGTTTTTTTTTCCTTGAAAAAGATGGAAAAAGAAAATGAAATTATCAGATCAAGGCAAGTACTTCCTAGCACGGGAACTACAAAAGCATCTTTGCCGTTTATATTTACCTGTTAGATTTACAAAGGTTCTTGAGCCTCCAATTTCTATTTGGTTCAAGTAACAGCAAGTAAAAATTTTAGAAAACAGAAAAAATGAAGTAATAACATGAATAGAGTTAAATGCAGTAATATAATTTTCAGATAATTAGTCCTCCAAATGACTGTATCATGAAAAACAGTATCAGTAACAAATTTTCCAAGTTTAGGCTCAAGGGTTCCATCTTGGAATAGCTGGTTACCAGTGATAATTTTCCCTTCCTGCTAACTAAACATATATATTTTTCTTTGTGAAAAATTTCATCATGAGGTAAAGGATGAAGGTAGCAGTGGAGGAACCCAAGGAAAAGTCCATTAGTCAACAGTTGAGTCAACAGCCAGGATGAGTCATCTAAAATACGGGATACCTGGATACTAGATATGTCTGCATGTTTTGTCTCAAATCATATTAATTTTTGTTTGATCCTTCTCGGAATGGAGTTTGGAAGCTTGAATTTTTGGACAGAAATAAAAACATTTCTGTTTTGACTTTCTTTATGATTATGTTTAAATTTAAATGTATACTTCATTTAGTGAAGATTGTTGAGATCCTTTGTCATGTCCAGGTCCAGCTACTTCTTCTTTCACGCTGAAGTCAATGGGAACTTTCCATACTAAAAATGTAACTGGAGTGAAGTGAAACTAGCTATATGTTATAATTTCATGTTTCAGGCAATCTTTAGCAAATCTAGAATAAAATTGGGAAAACTTGTTTTTGGCCTTTTTAATAAACTGAAAAATCAGTCAAGCATGGATAGTTTCTAAGTTTAGAGCATTATTTCAAAGAAGTTCTTGAAATTACTGTCTTATCCCTTTCTAAGAATTATTTCAAGGCGAAATTATTGAAAGACATTAACAACATCCACCAAAATACATTTCAGATAAGAAAGAACATGTTTCTTGAGTCACACATCTTGAGTATGATGTCTTAGTGAAACTAAGCTGGCAATGAATTCAAATAATTGGTCCAAATTTCTCCTCTTCTATTTGACTTTGATGTTATTTTTAAAAATATCAAATCATTCTTGAATTATAGTAGTATTATATGTATTTTCCATTTCTCCTAAATTGTTGCAGAATATTGTATAACAATAAAGTACCCATAAATCCTGGGATGAGGATGATTTTCTATGCAACTATGATGATATGACCAAAGGAGGTTTGCATGATTGTATTCTCAAAAGCTTGCATTCTGATCTCATGAAAATATTTTTTAAACAGAAGTCTCCTAAAGAAATATAAGGTATTTTCAATTCTGAGGCACAGCTGGCTTTGTCTCAGTCTGATTATGAGTAAATTATTGCTGAAGTGCTAAGCTTGACTGGCAATAGGAAGATACAATTCAATTTGTAGTACCTGCAGATTTTGTAAATGAATCTGAATTTGCATTGAGAGAGTTGGTTTTTATGTACTGAAGACAACTCACATCCCTAGGACCTGACTGAGATTTTCTTATTCCCAGCTTCATCCACTGATGACCAAATGGGCAGTAATGAACAAAATCTCTCTGAAACAGCCATATTAAAGTATTTTTTGGACCTACCTTACTTTAAAAAGTCATTGTAAAAATTATTATTTAGTGAGTAGCTGCCATTTGTTTCCTAAACAATTTGGCATTTTGAGCATGTCAGATTTTCACAAGAAATTATACAAAAGGTTAAAAATTCAATTGAATTCAATGGTATGTGTTAGTCAGGATCAATCAGAGCTCCTATTCAAGGTATAGTAAGGAAACTACATTTTTAAATAATAAAACTTCATTTAAGTGTTCCTGATTAAGGAGATAGTTGGAGTTTTACTTAACTTCACAGAAAAACATGGTGAAAAT